CTGGTGGAAATGTGACTTGGGAACTAGAGAGCCAATGAGGGAGTCTTATCCAGAACTGTTTGAACCAGGTAACATTTTCGAGGACGAAAATTCCTAAAGTGGGGGAGGGTTGTAACAGCCCAAATTTCATTAAATAATTAATTATAGTAATTAATTGATTTAGTGGGATTTTTATTAATGTTGTAAATTAATTTTTATTAATTGGAATTAATAGAGAATTGAGAAGGAAATTGGAAGGAAGGAAAATAAAGGAAATATATAATAGAGAAGGAAAAGAAAAGAAAGTTAGAGAGAAACATTTGGAAAGAAAGAAGAAGAGAAAGAGAGGAGAAGAAGAGGAAAGTGGAAAATCATCAAGAACCAACATCAAAGCTCCGATTAATCGAGGTAAGGGTGAGAAATGTTTCTATTTGATCATTGCATGATGTTATATATGTTGGGTTGAGGTTTTGGTGTAGTTTACATCCTTTTCCATTTAGGGCAAAAGTTGGAATAATCGGTAGAACTCAATTTAATCGGTTAAAATCTGAAATAGATGATGTAGAATAGTCTAGAAATGTTAGACTAAGAGTATTGGAATTGGATAGGTGAGATTGGAGTTTTTGGAGTTGGTTGAGTTGGATAACAGTAAGTGAAAAACAAAATACACACACACTCGCTAGCAGCTCGCTAGGCGAGCAGGTCGCGAATGCTCGCTAGGAGCTCGCTCAGCGAACAAGTAGCGAATGGTCCCAGACTTGGACAAAATGGATTTTGGTGTGTTCGCTGGTAGCGAAAGTGTAGCGAAGAGATAGCGAACGATTCGCTGGGAATCTCGCTGTAGCAAGCAGGCAGCGAATGAAGTCAGTAACTTCTGTTGAGATTCGCTAGCACGTTCGCTAGGCGAACAAGTAGCGAATACTCGCTAGGAGTTCGCTTAGCGAAGGAGTAGCGGGTATGACAGGTTGATGTTTTATTTGAGATTTATCCATAGGTTGATTGTGTGGTTCGACTATGGTTTATTGCCTGATTAATCGCATAGTTTATGTACTATTGTGATATGTTGTGGGTAGCCTTCGGGCGTGAATCCTAGGTTTTGAGATGTGTATATTGTTTGTATTGATTGGAAATGCATGAGAACATAATAGAGGTTATGTGTGCATTGTTTGATAAATTGTGAATGCCTAATGTTGTATGCAATTGTGTGATAAGTATGCATGAGAACATTGTGGATATGTGTGCATGACTTGCGAATTACGTTAATGGTATTAATGTGAATACCTTGAATTGTTATGAATATGTTGTGTGTGCAACCATGTTGTAATTCTTGAAGAGATGAATTATTGGAATGCATGAGATTAAGATGTCGGTCTTAAGTGCATTTGATTTTCGATTGCATATGCATCATTTAGTCAAGAGGCAATGCTTTCTAGTTTCGTGGAGACTAGTGACTTGTCCCAAACCTAGAAGAGTGGGTTTGAAGGCTTAGAGGACGGGCCTTTGTTGTTATAGGTCTAGAAGAGTGGACCCGGTTTAATGTAAAAACCGAAAAATGATAACGGGTTATCGGTCTAGAAGAGTGGACCCGGTTTAATGTAAAAATCGAAAAATGATAACGAGAGTCGGTACCGCATTGCATGAGTTGCATTGAGTTGTTGAGTCACATTGATATATGACATATGCATAAAGAGATGCTTATGTGTGAATGATAAGATTGTGGAAATGTGAGTGTATGCATGATGTGGGAATGCTTTGTGAATATTCATGTTGTCTATATATGTGTGGTAAATATATATGACTAAGAGGGTGAATTGTGGTGAGAAATATGGAGTTGAGTTATATGATTACCTATATATATATATATATATATATATATATATATATATATATATATATATATATATATATATATATATATATATATATATATATATATATATATATATATATATATATATATATATATATATATATATATATATATATATATATATATATATATATATATATATATATATATATATATATATATATATATATATATATATATATATATATATATATATATATATATATATATAATCTTATGCTTTGATTATTATGGTTATATTTCTCACCCTTCTGCTGTTTTATAATGCTCTATGAGGCATTGCAGATTAGGATGCTGGGTTTTTTTGTGAAGTTATCTTCATTCTTTTGAGTCGGCTGCTCTGATATGTAACACCAGGTAGTTAGACTAGTATAGTTATTCTTTTTTGATACATTGCGATGTATCAGCTGATGTGATTTTGTAATTACCTGACATGATGTATCAATCTGGATATCTTATTTGTATGTGAATTAATATTTTGGAAATGATTAAATGATTTTATCTTCCGCTTAAATTTAAATGTTGAAATGTGATTTCTAAACCATGAAAATGTTACATATTTTATGGAGCAAATGTTAAAGTGTTTCATTGGTGAAATTGTGACATTCTTCCTATTCTAAAATTTTCACTCTGATAAATTTGTATATGCATTTATTTGGGGGTATAGAAGGGGCTGTTACATGCTTCCCATAGGGTAATCGGATATTCACCAAAATTTAATTAAACTAAAAAAGTTTTATAACTTATCTTTTACTCAAAATTTTTGTTAAGCATGTCTCACTCTTGTGGCGATTCAACAACATGAAATTAAAAATTGTTTATCGACTGATAAATGGTTTGATATATAGTCATACAATAGAATGGTTTGATATATAGTCATACAATAGAATAGAATGCATTGCTAACCACAACAGTTGGTCGACATAATATGTGTTTAATTACTTGTTAGGATTAGAAGAAAAACATAAATGCGTTGACATTGTATACATATTCTTAAATGCGACCAAACAAACAAGATTCTAGACCTATTTTTGTATTGACCAGAAAACATATTCTAGTCTATTAAACACATTGACTTTGTTATATATTTTCCACAATTTATGTTGTCAATTCAAGACAAATAATTCTCATTTTCTTGGTTTCATAGAAATAATTCTCTTGTAACAATATTGAATTAGTAATTTTAAACGTCTCAAATACTCTTTGAAATTTTTGTTTCTTCTTTTGACACACACTACATCAAAATATCATTAAAAAAAATATATGCTTATTAGTATAATCGTGTTACCAGAGAAAAAATTAATGCTAACGGGGCCAAAAGAAAAATATAGTTCAAACATGTAATAATAAAAAATTAATATATACGTTTAATGATATGAAATGAGATTGATATAGTATTAACAATTAATCTGATGGTTGGATATATATATATATATATATATATATATATATATATATATATATATATATATATATATATATATATATATATATATATATATATATATATATATATATATATATATATATATATATATATATATATATATATATATATATATATATATATATATATATATATATATATATATATATATATATATACATATATATATATATATATACATATATATATATATATATATATATATATATATATATATATATATATATATATATATATATATATATATATATATATATATATATATATAGTATTAACAATTAATAGAATTTAATTACTCTGACAAAACTAATATTAGAGTAGAGCAGAGTTAAATTTAATAAAATAAAGTAATTTAATTTTAAATAATATATGTTATCACATTTTATTTTATTTTGTTATATTTTGGAGAAATTTCTAAAATATTAAATTGATAAATAATAAAAGTTAAATTAACAAAATAAATGTCCAAAAGATGTCACTGTCTAAAATAGAATCAGAGACCCTATAATGATTGTGTGCGTGGTCAAAAGGTACAACCACCAGTTTAACACAACTTTTCATAAAAAAGTTTGTTGCTATTGATATACAATGATTCGCGAATGGTCATGTTGGAATCAAATGAAACATTGTTTCTGCACACCAATCAGTACAAGTTTTCTTATAAATAGAGATACTTGTCAGCCATAAAAGATATATGAACATAATATATTTCAGAGTCAAAAATTATATCTAAGTCATTCTTTTATTTTTCTAGTGCACGAGAATAAATGACGAAACTTTATTCAGTAAAATATCATTAATCGATATGCTTAATGTGAATGTGCGATTCATGTTAAGGTTTCCAAAGTATCTTGTAGGGGATTCGCCAATTAACCCTTTTGCATCCAATTTGCATAAATTGGTGGGGGTGAATCGAACCTAAAGCTTAGTGTAAACACACGCTTTGGAATTATTTCGTGCAACTTTCATCGTACCGTCTTCATCATCTTCTTCTTGTTCATGTTTTGCAGCAGACCCCCAACACAAGATCTAACATTATATCCTATTTCACATCAAATGCACAAGATATTCTATAGATATATAGAAGTTAGATATGATAAAAATATAAAAATAAACATTTTGTAAGGTCTGCTCTGCTAGGGTTTTGAAATCATGGGAAAATGTGGCGTCGGCCGGCCAAGGACTCAGGTGGCGACGCACCAGAAAGGGGATGAAAGGACCATCATTACACAAGCCATTATTGAACCAACCATGAGAGAAGACGATTGACAGGAAATCAAAAATGACACTATCACCAACTCTAAAACAACCACGAAAGAAGACAAAGTGGAGAAACTTTCAGAAGAGCTAGTACAAGCAACAAACAACGAGGAAACGATTGTCAGCAAATCACCCCTGAAAGCGACGACAAAAAACTTATCCAAACCATGAGTGGATGTGATAAAAGGAAATAGAACCCTTAACAGGGGCATGGCAGTTGAATTTGTGGCACCTGAAATAATCAATGGAGAACTTGAGATACAAATCGACGACTCAGACGTAGAGGACGAATTGGAGTTTTGGTAAAATGCAATGATCCTGTTTGCACTAGGGGATTCTCTATGATGCCAAATCTATATTATAATGATGAAGGATTCTTCATATCCAGGTTTAAAAATGAGCATGATAGAGAGGCAGTTATGTCACAAGGCCCATACTTCATATATGGAAAAACCTGTGTTCATTAGAGAATGGAGTCCTGAGCTTGAAATGAAAGAAGACCTATTGCGTATCTTGCCATTGTGGGTGACTTTTCCAAACCTTCCCCTGCGTCTGTGGGGAGAGAAAAGCCTGTCCAAGATTACAAGTGCAATTGGAAAACCGATCACAATGGACAAATGTACTGCAAAGAAGTTACGTATATCGTACGCTCGAATCTTAATAGAGGTGGATATCATACAGAAACCAAAAGAGACCATCAATGTCAAGGACCAAAAAGGGAAATTGTTGGAGCAATGAGTAGAATATGAATGGAAGCCATCATATTGCCAAAAATGCCTGAAGATAGGTCATGACTGTGATCAGAAGAAGAACTATGAAAAGAGTACCAAAATTTGGAAACCTGTCACCAACAAAATTCATATAAGCTAATAGAACCAGAAGATGCATAACACACAAGTGGAAGGTAGACCTCAAGACAACCAAAATAAAGAAACTTCTAAGGACAGCGAGTGTGTGAGGACCTTTACCCTAGAAAACCAAGATGCATACTGGACCCATATCACTACAGCAAGTAAAGTGCAAAGAAGCGGGAAAGGTATGGCTCCTACACAAAATGTTGCATTTGTTGATTTTCAAAACTCATTTACTCCCCTAAGGATTAGAGATTGTTCTATGGGAGAAACCCATCTTGACCTATGATTGTCACCTGGAATGTTAGAGGCATCAATAAACAGGCTAGGCATAGAGAGATAAGCTCATATATCTCTACATTTAGTGTACCAATCTGTGCCTTGTTGGAAACTAAGGTTAAGCAAAATAATGCTGATAAGATTAGAAAGAGTTTTGGTCCCAACTGGAAGTTTGAAGATAACTATGAACATAATTCAAATGGAAGGATATGTATCCTTTGGAAGCATAATAAAGTGAATATCAAAGTACTTAAAACCAATGTTCAGTTCATTCATGTAGAAGTGTATGCCCTTGATCAAACACATATGCAAACCATAATTGTGACTTATGCTTTCAATCAACTAGAACACAAAAGGCGATTATGGAAAGATATTGAACTATTAAGCAACAATACTTCTAGCCCTTGGATTGTTATGGGAGATTTTAATAATGTAGCATCTTGCCAAGAAAGGATTGGAGGGAAAGAGGTTACTGAAGCAAAATTTAGAGATCTAATAGATATGTTGCAAATGGATGATCTGTTTGAAGCTACAACCAAAGGTCCTCACTTTACATGGACTAACAAGCATACTACAGGGGTCATCTACTCTACAATTGATAGAGTTTTGGGTAATACTACTTGGTATTAAAAATTCCAAGATGCTGTGATAGAGAACCTAGCCCCAAACATCTCAAATCATACTCCTGTGAAGATCAACATGTATGAAAATCACTTGAGGAGACCTACCATGTTTAAATTTCTGAACTATGTGACTCATGACGAGGCCTTCCTTAAAAATGTTGAGGATAATTGGCTTGAGGAGGTTAGGGGGAGACCTATGTAAGCCCTCTGGACAAAGTTGAAAAAGCTCCAACAAAAACTCAAGCCTATGACCAAAAAGCTCACTAACAATCAGATTCAAATGATTCAAAGGGATCCTTTCAATGAGGCTACCATACAACAAGTGAAAGTTTTCACAAAGAAGGTCATAAAGCTAAACCAAATAAAGGAGGACATCTTAAAACAGAAGTCGAAGGTCAACTTGCTGAAGTTAGAGGATAACAACAATGCTTACTTTCATGCATCAGTTAAGGAGAAGAATAAGCATAAAGGCATGTACAAGTTGCAGGCTTTGAATGGAAATATACTCACTAGCCATGAGGACATTCAATATGAGATCATGGAATTATATGCACATTTGGTTGGCACTCAAAATCAGAATCTAAAAAGTATAGAGATTCCTATCATTAGATCTGGAAAAACATTATCAAGAGAAGATGCTCAATCCTTTATCAGGCTTGTGGAAGATAAGGAGATTTAGGAAGCCCTTACCAGCATAGGAGACACAAAGGCTCCAGGTATTGATGGTTACAGTTCCTACTTTTTCAAAAAAAAACTGGCACATTGTAAAACATGATGTAAGAGCTGCTGTGAAGGATTTCTTTGATAATAATTATATGTATAAGGAATTTAACTGTTCTCTCATTAAACTGATCCCCAAGACCCTATAATGTAGTATAATAAAGGAGATGAGGCCTATAGCATGTTGCACTACCATCTATAAAATCATCTCCAAGATTCTTACCATTATACTAGGTTCACTCATTAATTAATATTGTTTCAAACTCCCAGTCTGCGTTTATTCCAGGTAGGGTGATTCATGACAACATAATGATGGTTCAAGAATTGGTGATAGGGTATGGTAGGAAGCAGTTGTTTCCCAAATGTATGGTTCAACTAGACATCCAGAAGGCGTATGATACAGTGGACTGGTAGGCTTTGGCTCATATTATGATGGAATTGGGTATCCCTCATATCTTCATTAATTAGATTATGACATTTGTGACTTCTGTTTCCTACAAATTCTTAATTAATGGAATCCCTTCAAACATTCTTAGAGCAAAAATAGGGCTAAGACAGGGAGACCTCATCTCACCTCTTTTGTTTATGATCACTATGGAATACCTGCATAGGATGCTGCAAACCTTGGAAACCAATCATGATTTCAATTTCCATCCTAGGTGTGAAAGGCTCAACATAATTAACCTTTTCTTCGCTGATGACATACTGATTTTTACTAGGGGTGATAGTGTGTCTCTGCAGTTAATATTGGGGAAAGTTCATAAGTTTTCAGATTCAACAGGTTTATGTATCAACAACATGAAAAGTAAACTGTATATATGGGGAGTTGATGAAAATGCTAGAAGACATTTATACCAAGTTACAGGCTTATCAGAAGGGGAATTTCCATTTAGGTACTTGGGAGTGCCTCTCAGCAGTAAGAAATTAACTGTCAAAACAAGTCAACCTCTAATTGATCGGATGATGAGAGGATAAATCATTGGAGCACCAAATTTCCGTCGTATGCAAGGAGACTTCAGCTAATCAAAAGTGTGTTGTTAGAGCTGTGATAGAGTATCGGGTTTTTGTTATCGTCTCCACATGGAATACGAGATATTGCCGCCGTTCGACAGTTGTCAAGTTCTTAACTTTATAGTAACAAAAGGGGTTTGATTTTTAGTCACGGTATCTTGCATAAAAGGTAGTAAATTGCGGTAAAAGTTAGGGTTTTACGATTTAAGAAAGATTGTCAAAATTAGGGTTCAACAATCACTTTTCATGTATATGTTCGATCAACAAAACTCATAAACTCCTTTAGATGATAAACACATTCACAATATCCTCCCAATGTGATTATTTCTAACTCATATTGTGATTTTTCCCATTTTGATCCATTGTTGATTTCTCACACAATCTACCAAAATGACAACATTTAGGTTTAACATTTTAGTGAACAACCACATTCAAGACTATTTCTAGCTCAAGAAGATAGATGGATGAAAACATAGGTCAAGAGTTGGAAAACATCTTTGAATCATAAACCAACACAAAGAGTTATAAATAAAGAAAGGTTTTCACCATATATTTGTTGCGGTGGAAATAGGATCACAAACTATTAATGAGTTTGAATCGCAATTCAATTCACAACCGCTCTTTGATTTATCCGAAGGAAAAGGTCAAAAGAGGGAAAACCTATTTTGCATCGTAAACACAATGCGGGGAAAGATCTAGGGTTCGGGGGTTGGTTAAATTTAGGGAAGGTATTAGCACCCTAAACTTCTGTAGTACTCTACAGGAACCTTTTGTTCAGATGTTTACTATTTGCTTTATTCATTTGCTTAAGGTATATGTACAAAGGATTAAAAGTGAGAAAAGAGACCTAAGGGGTTAATTCTAAGTTTACTCGGCAAGACATCGCATCTTGTGCCTACGTATCCTTACGGGAGTGGAATCAGAGTAATCGTAGTTCCCCTCAAAAGGGAGGTTAGAGACTTCTTGACTGTGGTCAAGGTCTCAATGGGGAATAAACGTATCTTAGGGACACGCTTACGCGGAGTGTAGAAACTCCAATATCTACGTTGCAAATTGTTAAGTGAATTAGGGTTAGGTTAGGGATTCCGCGGCGGGAAACCTTAAAACAGAGTACGGCGACTCTTTTGGCCTAACACTAGGATAAAAGCAATTTTGCCCACGGCGGGACACCTAGGCTAAACAGGGTTTGATCCATTAAAGGGGTAAGGCTATTGACTCGGCGGCCAAAAGGCTGGACCTAATCCTTCGGAAGGATAATATGTAAAAAAATGTGAAAATATGACAAATCATTATATGGAGGAATAATTAAGGTACAGAAATAAGAAAAGTAATAAAGGCAGAGAGTATAAAGAAACAAAGAAACATTTCTGAAAACATGAAGAATATGAAAATATGTAATGACACTTAGAATGAAGTGAGGGAGGAAAATAGTGTGGGGCTGTGGCCACCACAAGCACATCTCAACCTCAAGCATGCAAATGGAATGCAGGAATAAAGAAAATAAAAGGTACACAAAATGACACGGCAAACATAAGGAGTTCCTTACGAAAAGGTTTTAATTTTTTAATATTTTAATTATGTAAAAAAATGTTTTAATTTTTTTAATATTTTAATTATATATATAAAAAGGTTTTAATTTTAAAATGGAATTACTTAGTTAAAAAAAATTTAAGTTTAAAAAAAATGTTAAGTTTAAATTATATATAAAAAAAAAATGTTTTTGGGAACAAAAAGGTTTTTTTGGAAAAAAATGTTTACGGGAACAAAAAGGTTTTTTTGGAAAAAAATGTTTACGGGAACAAAAAAAAGGCTTTTTTTGGAAAAAAATGTTTACGGGAACAAAAAAAAGTTTTTTTTGGGAAAAAAATGTTTACGGGAACAAAAAAGGTTTTTTTTTGGGAAAAAAATGTTTACGGGAACAAAAAAGGTTTTTTTTTGGGAAAAAAATGTTTACGGGAACAAAAAAGGTTTTTTTTGGGAAAAAAATGTTTACGGGAACAAAAAAGGTTTTTTTTGGGAAAAAATGTTTTGATAAAAAAAAAAATAACAATAGAATTGCAAATGCAAACAGACAATTGATGGACATGCAAACAATCCTATACGACACAATCATGGTTCATACATATCAAAATCTACGGATCTAAACAACAATGAAGGTTAACATGGCAAGGATGCAAATAAATATGAAAAATGCAAAGGATTTAGTAATTTAACGGACCTAAACACATTAACATGGCAAAATATGCACATAAACATGAAAAGGCAAAAGGTTTAGTAATTTAACCTACGAAGCGGAGGTTTGCTTCGGTAAATGTGAAAAAGGTTTGAATAAGGGAACACTGGAGAGCTCCAATCCTTCTAACGAGTTGTGGGAACGACCGCCTTTCTTCTCTGGGGATCTCCTTTGTTTCTCCCTCTCTCCCCTCTTTTCTGAAGAAAACCTTCTGACCCCTCTTAGGTTTTTTTCATTCTCTCCTCTTTTCTGAAGAAAACCTTCTGACCCCTCTTAGGTTTTTTTCATTCTCTCCTTTTTTCCAACAAGGCAACACATGTATATATAGGGAACAAATTAGGGTTAACACCAAATTGTCAATAATGTCCCTAAAGCCCATTTTAAAGCCCAAACTAAATAATTAGTTAAGAAAAAATAAAATTTAAATAATTTAAAATAATTAAAATAAAAATAAAAACTAATAATCCTATTGATTCCTAAAAATAAAAAATATTATAAAAGGAACAAAATTTTTCAATATTTTTTTATTTTATGATTTTTTGGATATTTTTATGAATAATTTAGAAAAAAGTGAAAAAAATAATATTTTAAAAAATGATTTAATTAAAATACGAAAATAATAATTAAATAATAATAAAAAACTATTTTTGTTATTTTTTTAATGAAAGATAGAAAAATTTAGAGTAAAAATAATAAAGAACAAAAAAAGTGACAAAGGTGAGATTTAATTTTTAAAATAGTTAGAAAAAAAAAGATTTAATTTTAAAAAAGAATTTAGAGGAAAAAAAGATTTAATTTTAAAAAGAAGTTAGAGAAAAAAAGATTTAATTTTAAAAAAGAAGTTAGAGAAAAAAAGATTTAATTTTTAAAAAAGTTAGGAAAAAAAAAATTTAGTTTTAAAAAGGTTAGAAAAAAAATATTTAATTTTAAAAAAGTTAGAAAAAAAGATTTAATTTTAAAAAGTTAGAAAAAAAAGATTTAAAGTTAGAAAACAAGATTTAGCTTTAAAAATAGTTAGAAAAAAAGATTTAATTTTAAAAAAG